TTACGGTCCTTACCTGTTACATAATAAAATTTTGATCTAATTAAATGGCAACCTGGTGGTATGGCATGTTGCTCAAGTATCTGTTCATAGTCCTCCTTTCTCATTGTATTCACTACTTTTATCAGTTCTACACCAACGGTCGAGAAACATCCCCACACCATAACTGAGCCTCCACCATGTTTGACAGTCGGTACAATAAATTCTGCCAACATTTTTTGTTCTACAGATCGACGGACAAATGTTTTTCGGTGCGACCCAAATACTTCAAACTGGGATTCGTCAGTCCAAAGGACTCTACTCCAGTCCTCAAATGTCAAATTTTTGTGACTTTTTGCCCAATCCAACCGCATTTTGCAATTTTTTGATGAAAGCAATGGGTTCTTGACAGCTATACAGTTGTTTAAACCACCAGCTCTTAGTCGTCTTTTCACTGTGGTCAGAGATACTGGAGTCGATCTACTATGATTAAGATCTGCACGAATTTGTGAGGCCGTTAGCCGTCTGTTCTGTTTGCAAATAATCTCTATTCTAATATCTTCAGCCTTCGACGTTATCCTGGGTGTTCTTGATCGTGGTTTGTCTTTTAAACAGCCAGAGCTCTCAAAACGTTTTACCGTACTCTGAACTCCCTTGTATTATATCTTCAATTTGCTTGCAATATTCCGCAAAGAATAATTTTTTTTAAGTGTGATAAGAGTTTCTAGTTTAAATACTAATCTGTATCATTTTTGCCATTTCTAAATATTGGTGTACAATTTAGAGAGATATATTGCACTACTTCCCAAAATTCTCCGAAAATTACGATAATGACTTATATAAATGTAACCTAAAAAAGTAAAAAGCCAATCAGTCTATAACCTTCAAACTTGTGTTTTCATTTTGTTTGACCAAAAGTTAAGCCTAGTTAGCCAATACTGTTTTTTCGGTTGTAATACGTCAATAATTTTCTACTAGTTTGCCAAATTGTCATGCATTAATTTTTTTTTTTTGGAACTAGATCAGATTCCTACTCTGACACTGGCAAGAAGTTCTATTGTCTGCTCTATCGCAACTGTTGTGTTGCGATCACTCATTGTTTCCTTTCCCGGCCGTCGATCGTTATGTTGTTGTGCCTGTTATGTTTAGCGTCCATTAGAAACGATTGGCATCGATTATTCTATCGATGTTTAATTTCACCATTTTTAAAGGAATTACGTTAGGGCAATCAAATGGCTTGAAGTTTCATAGTGATTGGCTAGCACTCGCCATCATATTCGCATAAAGCAGGTCTGCTATCAGCAGGGAAGTCAGAGCGACGTACCAATAAATGTGATAATCAATGACAAATTATTAAGTGCGACAAAAATCAGTCCTTTACTAATCATTAAGTGTGACAAAATACAGTCAGTGCGATAAAAGAATAGTACTACAGTTAGTGCAAAAATCAATTACAAATCAGTTAATTCTTATGTTAGCTTAAGCTACAAGAAATTACGTTACCGTATTACATCACTATCTCGAACAACGTCTCAAACACTATCTCAAACATTACGAACGAAAGCTTGCGAGGAAATAATATCTGTCGGTGATCAAATTTATACAGTCCACTCATCACGATCTCGAACAAGAATATATTACTGAAGAAATAATAAACTTACATAAAAAAGTAAATTTAAAAGTTGTATGACGAACGTTTGGTTCGATATTCTAAATATAACATTGGAAAGAGTTTGGCGAAAAATTAAATAAAACGAGGAAGAAGAACGATGATAAGAAGAGAGATGTTATTGAAAAACTTGTCGATATATTCTGTAAGATATCAGAATGTGATGTGTGTGATAATACTAATGTAATGAAATGGTTGCAATTACGACGATAAAAAAAGATAATAATGACATAATACAAATGAAAGTGAAATGATGAAGATATGCTTTCTCACGTTAAATAATTCGAAAAAGAGCTTCGATAATTCAAAGTACAAAGAGAATATAATTCTATGCAATTACTTACGTTGAAATTACTCACTGTGAGCAATCAAAAAAACATGTTGCAAAAGTATTTAATAAAATTAATTATAATTTTTATTCAAATAAATATAATTTTATATCAAAGAAATGATTATTCTATTATCTAAAATTCCATTATTTAAACTTTTGTCTTTCAATTAGTTTAAATAAGAGAATCTCTATTTCGTTATATTCATTATTCGGTATATTCTTATATCTATTTCTATTACGAACAAAGCAAGAAAACACTATTAATATGTGGCTCGATGGTACTTTCGTTCTGCTCTGGTCGTGCACACCTCATCGACAGAATGAAGTACAAAATCGTCTATGTGATAACTTCGTTATCAAGAGTGATCTGTGGTTCGCTGCAACCAGCGAGATATGTCAATTAGATGCACACGTTCATATGCTATATGGTAATTTTGCAAATTAGACTGTTTCGTGTGAAAATACACAACGGAAAGACTAAATTTGAGTTGGAATCTGAAGATAATACGGTATATACTGTATAAGATAAAACAATATTTGGAATTTCTCACTTAAAACTTCTCAGTATTTATTTCTCACTTAATAGCCAGATATATGCTATAAATTCAATATTTCTAAGTCATTTGAAAAATCCAATTATTTGAATTATTTTATTTGAATTTATTGTAATTATTATTTTTTTAATGACTTTAAAATACATAAAAACTTATTGTTTATTGTTAATCAACATTCTTACGAAATTAAAGAATTTATCTTTGTATTTCCTAATGTCATTGAAAAATTGCATAAATAGATCTTTAGTGTAGAATTCTGTACGTATTATAGCGTAATAAAGCATGCATCCAATATTCCCTTTCCTTCTTTTTTTTTTCTCTTTATTATTGAGTTTACATTGAGTGGAGTTCCTCACGAACTGTTATTCGCAGGTTATTCTGCAAGTTGTTTGCGAACTGTTTGTAACAGGAATCGAAATTATCAGATTCTTTTCGTTTTTAAATAAATTCTGTCCGAAATTTACATATTTCGTATAAAAAATCAGTTTATAAATTTTTTTTTATTTTTATACAATTTTTATAGAAAGAAATGTTACACTTAGCAACACTTTTGAATATTGTTCTTACAGAACAGATATTTTAGGATTTATATAATAAAAGTTCCACGGAAATTAGTTATTTTAGAAGTTATTTATTAAAATTAAAAATCCATTTTTATACTCGACTACTATTCATTGAATAATTCTCAGTATCAGTATTTGCTACAAATATTGAGAATCTTTTTAATATCGTTGAACAAATTATCTGTTCCTTCAATAGACAAATTTTTATCTTTATATTTTATAAGTTCCATTCTGTCTAAAATTTTTATTTTTGAGAACATTTATTTACCTGTTCTCATCGGGAACAATTGTAATACATATAATAACATTTTTCGAAAAAATTCTACGGTCCATGTTTCAAAGAGAATCTATTTAAAACTTAATTTTTTCATTTGGTCTATGAGCTGTTCACAAATTGCAAAATTGCAGAATATCGTATCTATACGAAATTCACGAATAGTTCGCAAACAGTTGCAGAATTGTTCATTTAAAAACGAAATGATACAAACGCATTCAAATATGCTTGGCGCTCACAAACAGTTTCTTTGACACCTTCCAAGTTGTTCGTTCGAATTCGCTAATCAGCTTGCTGTTTGCTGTTTGTAAAAATAATCATATTGCCAATGAACAATAAATGTTCGCAATCTATTCGCGAACAGCAATAAACTCAGTATAACAATGCTGACAACTTTGAAATTGTTCAGCTTGGGTGTCGATTTTGAACGATTTTGTCAATCAAATGATCTTAAAGTGAATGTCCATTATGTATTTACGTGTTCGAAGTTGATTTATTTATCGATTTCTTCCCATTACATCGAAGAAATGATATTCAATTGAGTCAGTTTGGACAATGTTTCATTGTTTCGTTGTTATTGCAATGAAAGCCACAGATCGGTAGGTTATATCCTTTATTTCATCATTTAACACAAATTCAATCATTGATGGAACTTCAAATTATAATTCTTCAAATGTTGGATTATAGTAATTGTAAATGTTCTATATTCAATAAATATTGTCTTATTCTTTATGCTATGATTACTTTTATTTGTTTTACTTACACAGGAAATCCTATTTTGAGGGCCTTAAATATTTCCATTGTTTTTGGGAAATATGAAAAAACTTTTCTGATAAAAGTTATATAGATTATTGAATAATATATTATACAGAATACTGTATAATATGTAATTAATTTTTCATAATTTTATCAAACGGCTTTCAGAAATTTCATAGTCACCTTCGATTTTTTAAATGCAATTGTACATTTTTTGACCTATTAATCAATGTAGCTTTCATTAATAAGGCTTTTTCATACTTTCAAAAACAATGGAGATATTTAAGATGTTCAAGTTAAGTGGAACAGTTTGTATAAGAACATTTAACTTTTTTAAAAATCAATAATTTTAATGATCTCTTATATTAGAAAACGCATTAAATTTATTTATATATTAATTTATTATATAAGAATTTTCTCACAAATCTAATATAGTAAGGAGTGTAACATATAATGATGAAATTTTTGATATTTTAAACTGTTATAATTTCCTAAAAAAAAATGATATAATGAGACTAACAATAAATAGATTATTATATGATCTTTTTTATTGATGTTATAACGATTTAAAGTATTGACAATTTTTTATTTAAATTAATTGGTGCAAAATTGATTTCACAAAAAAAAAAAAAAATTATAGCTGCTAGAATAATGATGGTAATAAAAATCATGAAATTTTTTTTGGAAAATCAAAACATTTTACAGAAACATTTTACAGTATTATTTTGCTTGTTTTTATATTCTACATGCAAACACTTGATAAAATATTATTAGTGTTAAAAATAACATATATGTGTTCAGATTTGCTCATTACTGTATGATATTAAGATACTTTTAATAATCCATACAAAATTAAAGTGTTTAAATTTTTTTATAGATCAAAAAAGCTATCATCTGTAGAGGTTGTGACAGCATTTATAGAACGGGCGAAAGAAGTAAATGAAATAATAAACGCAGTTGTTGAAGATAGATACTCTGATGCCTTAGAAGAAGCTAAAGAAGTAGATAAATTTCTGCAAACATTAGAAAATAGTGACTTAATAAAAGAGAAAAAACCATTTTTGGGTGTTCCTTTTACAACAAAAGAAAGCAATGAGGCAAAAGGTAATTTTATTTTTTTCTTACATATTTTCTTTCTACACATTATTATAAAATATATTAAGTTGGCTAAAAAGTTACATAATGTTACAACGTTAATGACGTTAATCTGATAATTGTATATCAGTATGTCATTTGATATAAAAATTTTTAAAATCTGGATGTATTTATTTATATTTGATAAACATTTTGCTAATGGAGATGACAAGATATAAAAAATATCTTATATCTACTATTACTGACAAGACAAAAACAGCTGTGTATGGAAAAGATACTTGCAATTTGTTACTAATAGATTCAGAAAAATTCTTGGCTGTATTTTCGAAAACTCTGATTTGGCTAAAATTTTAAAAATAGTTTCATTTTACATAAAAATAATGTTTATGGGGATTTTTGATGACTCAAAAAATAATAACCAGAATTAAAAAAAAAATGTTTTGCATTTATTTGGTTGAAATTTTGAAAATAAGTTTGTTTTAAATAAAAACAATATTTACGTATGGGAAGATCAATAACATTATAAAGTGTTCTTTCTAATCTCTTATTAATGTTTCTGTTCGCATTTTCTTCTTTATCTTTCTTATTTTATTAATATTTAGTTTTATTTATATTTACTTTGTTCTTTTTTTCTTTCCTTTCTTCCATTTGTAGCATTATGTCTATCTTTTTCACTTTTTTCTTCATTCTTTTCTTTACTTTTCTTTATATGTCCCTTTTCTCAGGTTTCTTTATCAGTATTTATTTTCACTTTCTAATATTTCATTCTCTTCTTCTTATTACTTTTCTTTCTTCTTCAATTCCTCACGTTTGTTGTTTGATTTATCCTTTTATATTTTTCATTTCTTACATAATTTCCCTTCTGTTTCTATCTTCTTCGTCTTTTTCTTCTTCTTTCACTTTTCTCCTTCTTAATCTACTATTATTCTCTTTATTTTTGTATTCTTTTCATGTCTTTTTAAGAATTCTTCTTTCGTTCATATTTGACGCATCTGTTCTTATATCCATACAGCTTTTATTAGCTCTTTTACTAATTGGTTCTAGTGTTTTACCATAAGACAAAGTGTTGTTACATGTACATATTTCTTTCTTAGCTTCATTTTTCGCTTACTTTTTTTTCTACGTGAAAACTTTTTTGGTCTTATTCTTTTCTTTGTGTTATTATTTCCTGTCCTTCCAACTATATTTAATTATCTCTTTATCCTATTATTATTATATTAGTAAATATGCATTGACTTTTCCGAATATTCCCTATTTTGATACAATTTTTTCCTTAAACATTTTATTATATCACTGAGAAATTAATCAGAGAAGGCCGAAAAAATAATCTTTACTATTTAATAAAAACGAAAAATATAACATGTTCTTATCAATCTGCAAAAAAGTATGTCTTCGACATACTTTTTTGCAGGTAATTCAGAAAGTCTGCCAAGTTAAAGATGTAGGATTGATTACGGTCCAATCTCCAATCAGTCAAATTTTTCTATTTTTCTAAAAATTAATCGAAATTATAATATCTTTTTTAGTTTATAAATATAAATATTTTCTTTAGCAGAGCGAATCTTTTCTCCTATCCACGCATTTAGATTTTTAATTTTTCCAAAAGCAATATATGTATAAATATATGTATAAATTAAAGAAATACTTCATTTTTATTTATTTTTTTAAGAAAATTTGCTTACTGATTTGCTAATGTGCTGATATGTGTTTTCTTCCAAAATCAGAAAAGCATGTTCATTTTTTTTAATTTTAGTGAATGATGAAAATACATTACATTACATAAAAATACATTTGTTAATTTCTCTCAACTAATTTTTCGTTTTAAATAAAGCATTTAAGGAAAGAATTGTATTGAAATAGACAAAATTCGAAAAAGTCACTGAAATGCACATTATATTTCTTTATCAGTTATATATTTTTATCAGTTATTTAAATTATCATTTGCACATGATGTAAACCGTTTTTGATACAGGTCAGAATGTAATGAATTTGGTAACGCTGTCATCAGTCTTATCATCGCAATAAGTCTGGTTTTTATTTTATTATTGGGTATAAATACATTACATATGAATACAGTATTATTATATACGAATAAGTGTACAATTGTGAATCAGATAAGTAATATTCATCTTGAGTGAATTGTAGAAACCTTGTGAATCGAATGTTGCGTATCAAATAATTTCGGAGGCTTGAATCTTGATTGTTTGCGAATTAATACGAATTAATAATATTAAAGAGTGTATACAATATTAACCCTTTGAATTCGTATGTTATGCTGGAGGTAATAATACAGATTTGTTATAAAAATTTGGAAATTGTTTTAAATTATTACATTTAAAAAAATCAGTTACACATTTTTTATCACATTTTAAAAAATTATTAAAAATAAATTTTATAATAATTATATAATAATAATAATAAATACATAAATAAAAAATATATTTTATTGTACATAAATAAAAATATATTTGATCGTACATTAATTTACCTAATTTACCTTAAAAGAAATACAAGTGAACATGCAACACAACAAATCGAGTTTAAAGCTAAATCTTGTAATCAAAGGTAATCACTTAATTTGACTTTCGTCAATTATGTAATAATCTTGCTAACAATGCTACTTTGTTGTAAACAATATTGATATCGATATCCGAAAGCAAGTATTATATATGTATCTTATACGTATGTATATAAATATTTATACAGAGTGTCTCGTATCTGGCGGTAGAACCACAAGGTGATTTTATTTACATATGAACAAGTGAGTCGAAAAGAAAGAATAAAATTTTTTCATTTGAGGTTTCGTTTTTGAGAAAATTAAGTTTGAAAATTTATCAAGTATATTTGAATTTAGCTAATTCTAGACACGACAAAAGAATAATTAACGAGTAAAGAATATACACAGAATAAAATTTTTTTGTAAGATGCTTCATTTTCGAGAAACTCGAGTTTGAATATTTATCAAGTGGCAATTTTTAACAAAATATGTTCAAAATCTATTTTTTTAAAAATGACGCCTTAAACGAAAAAAGTTTTATTCTATATTTTTTACTTATTTTTGTATTGATTATTCGTGCTTGTCCAATACAAAATTAGCCAAATTTAAGTATGCTTGAGAAATTTTAAAACTTGATTTTCGGGAAAACGAAAGCTTTAATGAAAAAATTTTATTTTTTCTTTTAGACTTATTTTTTCACGTAGAATCACTTCTTGTTAGTCGATTGTACCATCAGTTATCGGACTTCCTGTATTTCATTTTCAAACATGTATCTTATACGCATTTTGCCGTATGAAAGGGCGCTGCAGGTATTGAGCATGATATCGTTGTGAAATATAATAAATATAAATAATAACCCACTCCTCGATGATGACTAATATGCATTGGCCGTTATATTAGTCATATTTGTATAGGCAGACTTCAATGTGTTGTGCCTAAAGTTTTTTATTAATATCTCAGAAATCAGCAAAGAACTCCACATTAAAATTTCTTTTATATTCAGGATCTTTTTTCCCTCCCATTCAACTTTTCAAAATTTCGTTCTGATGAATTCTGATGAGTTATGTTGTACTACAGTCGAGCGGATTCGGAAGAAATTAGAACATCATTCATTCCTTACGGTGTTATGTTAAGGATATAATTAAGAATTATACTTCACAGAACTGTTTATTAGAACAAGACAAGATTTCCATTCGAGAACTTATAAATACAAAAATATTATAACGATCGTACTTGTTGCAGTACTAAACTGTTTTTGTCTGTGGGTCCTTCCTGTTGTTCTTATATATTTTATCCCATTGGTACTTTGATTCCTGGTCAAAGTACCTTAGGACGACTCATGCCTGACTAACCCCTAACAACGGGATCAAAAACCACGCAAAATCCACGACTGATTCATAAAGAAGTTTATTCTTCGGCTCATTGGGAACTGCGCACAACTTGTCAGCATTCAAGGAATTTAGTCCCTTAGTCCTATAACATCCAGTTGATATATTTTCTTTTCAACGAAAGTCGCCAAGATTTCTCACACCATCTTTTATTTTGTCATCAGAGCAAATACTTCTTCGTAGTTAATTTTATTTGTGGCTTCGAACAACCAACTCTACTTTATATTTATCAATAAATCCATCGGATTTCCCTTTTATTTTAAATTTCCATCTATTGAAATAACTTTTTGATTTTTAAATCTCGAAATCAACTACTAGGTTTTGGTTTGTGTCAGTCTTCACCTAATTACAACTGCTTATTTCGCTAATAATTTCTGCTAATAATTCTATGATTTCTTTATTCTTCTGAATTTAGTTTACATACTGGAATTCTTTTCTAGATCTACCAAGTTTTCCTGTCCCAATTATTTTTGGCACTTCTTGACAAGTTGATCGTTTAATTGTGCAGTTTCTCCATCGATAATCTACTTTTTCATTTGCTGAATTTCCGCATTTTAATTTAATTTAGTATTAAATTTATAATCACATTTTCGTTTTTGTTTAAACATTTCAAGACTTTCGGTTCTTTCTATAAAACACATATTCCTTTTATTCATTACAATTTGTTCGGAGTATCCACAGCTTCTACGCCTCGGATTAACCAATCATTATATACATTTTATTTCTTTATCAAAACTTTTTTAGATATTCTGGATCACGACTTTGCACTCATATGTTTTCTTACAATCTTACAAATGATTTTTTCTTATTGTATACTTTCTGTGCACTATCATTCTGTGCACGGATATTTAAGATTTAACGACGTAAGTTTCATTAATTTTTTGTAGCTTCTTTGAGCTTTAATCCTTTATCAAACAAAAATAACAAAATACACCGCAACTGCACCTCTTCGATCTTTGGTCTTAACATTTTTACTATCTGCAAAAATAAAAAAAATGAAATGAAAACAGTAACAGTATGAACAGAGCTTCAAAATACCAACAATTAACATACTTCATTGGTGCAGTTGCACGACAATTGGTTTCAAGATGACACAAAAACGATATTACTTTTCGCTTTACCTAATATATTCTTATCTACCTACTTATTAATTTCGCAATCTCCCTATTTTTATATAACTTCTACGTTATATAACTTACGTTGTGTACCTTGTAACTTTTATTATTATCATTTAATATCACCCAATTTAAAAAAATTTTTTTTTTAAAGTAACAAAGGTTTTGTTAACATTTTTTTCAAACATAACATAGTTATAACGGAATTCTGGGAATATACTGGTTACCTGCAACGGACTTGGTGAAAAATGGTGGACACGAATATGTTAAGAAATATACATTTTTATATAATAAAGTTTGTATCAAAGTTCATTTATTTACATTTATAAATCAATAAATTTTCATGTGAATATTTTATCTTAATACATTTCTTTTTACGTATTATAAATAGCCTGAATTATTTCAATTCTTATTCTTCTAATTTTGTATTAAATAAATACCTAACTATACGAATCATCTATATAATTATGTGGATAATATTCTTTCAAAAAGGATATGTCCAATGGAACATAAACGGATACTACGTATAGACATATAGACACTACGAGCAACTGCAAATCATCCTCAAACAACCCAACGATACTATGCCTTCAAGAACGAACACCAGCCAACTCTAAAAGGGTACGTCATCTTTACAAAAAATGGGAAAAACACAAACCACGCTAGTGGACGAACAACCATAGCGATCACAGAAACAGTAAGAGCCAAAGAAATTCCATCACGAATCTTGAAGCAATTGCAGTGGCCGTATCCCTCCCAAACCAATAAACATATGCAACATATACCTCCCAAACAGCCTACCTCTACAACTACAAGAACTAAAAGATCTTATCAGCCAAATACCACCACCAATGCTGATAGTAGGTGATTTTAACTGCCATAATTATCTTTGGGGCTCTACAAAAACCGACGGCTGCGGAAAAACAATAGAGAAACTACTAGAAGATCCAAACCTCATCCTTCTCAATACAGGGAATCAAACCCACTTCACAGTAAGTTCTGGAACATTCAGCGCAATAGACCTGTCAATATGCAGCAGCAAGATAGCACAATACATGGAATGGAATATCCTAGGATTTACACGACAGTGACCACTTCCCAATAGTAATTAACTATGATGACCACTCCTCCCCGACTCAAATCCAACCAACGACCAAGTGGAACCTTAAAAAAATAGACTGGTTTAAATACAAAAAAAAAAAAAAAAAAAAAAAA